GGAGCACCGTACCGGAACGGTACCTAGTGCTCCAGGCAGGCTACGGTACACCAGTACCGGGCCATACCGCCTGCAACCCACTACTGGATGCCAGGTCTTCCAGAAACCTAAAAGGGTAGGGATACCTTTTCAAGAGGGAAGGTAATACCAAAGGGCTACAATGGCCAGTGGGTATACAGCGATGACTTATAGCTTCTATTTTAAGGCTCTTCCTAGATCTAGGTTCACTCGTATGGTGCCACCAGAAATTTTAAAAAGAAGAAAATCATTCATGGAACTCAAACACCCACATTTCATCCTTTCATCCCTTTCACTTGATTTAGAACTGCTTTTAACTAACAAACTTCCTTCTGACTTTATGTATCAATTGTACCCATGCAAGTGATGCTATGTTAATTTTTTCCACGTCTGTTTTCTCTCATGTTTTATTTGGTTGCTTTCCAAAGAAATCTGGTTGTGATCTCTGAAAAATGATGCTAGACTATTGACCTGGTCATGGACCATCAAAATTTGTTTTGTACAATGCTATTGGTGGCTCACATTATTAAAAAAATGTAAATATTTTAAAATAAAAGTTAATGTAATGTTTTTAAAAAAATAAATGATATGTGATTTTAACCCAATGTGACAATATTCATAGTGAATGGACAAGTGTAATTGTATTGCAACTGTGTTTATGAGACAAAGTTTTATTTAATAAGTTCAATAATGTTGTTTATATACTGAGGGTTGCTAAAGTCAATTCTTTTAGAAATAGCTGTATTATTGCTTTATAGGAATAATTGTATGGAATAATCAATGTGTAAAACAAAGTAAGGTTGCATTAAAATGATGACACATGTTTTGTGATATTTGGATGCAAATTCTGCCCATACAGACTTGTGTCTTGCTATTGGATAGAAATATATAAGTTTTGGCTTTGATGTCATGACATGTTACATCCTATCCTTTCCTATCCTATCGTATCCTAATATTATACATAACTGGTATGAGAAAAGAGTAGTGTGGTGGCCTAGTAGGAAAGATGCTTGCCTCCCATTTCGAAAGTTGAGAATTCAATCGTAGGTAGTAGCAGATGTTTCTTGTGATCAAGGGCACAAAAGAAAAAATGTCTGCTGAGAACTCCGCATGAGGTCAGGAAGGGCATCTGGCCAGCAAATGCTCAGCTCCATCCAGTTGCCCTAACTCTACCCTAAATTAAATTAAGGAATTCCAGGGTGATAAGGAAGTTTCTTAAACTGGTATGATAAAAAGCAAAGGTACAATCTGGACTTACCCTTAGGAAAAGTCTGTGTCTGCATCTGTAGCCTTATTTTTACTAGATCAACTGGGCAACCAATTCCTACTGAGAAAGCCCCAGTTACTATGCTTGCTAAAGTTATATCTGTAAGTGCAGGAGGATGGTTAGGTTTCCCATAACGATGTTGGCAAATAAACCTTTGGGTACTGCTGAAGACACCAAATACCAATGAATTATAAGCAGCAATGCTGATTAATGGGAAAGACATTCCCTTAAAAAAACCAGTAACCTGAAAGAAAAGTAAAATAGGATGTGAATACCGCTCCACTGCAGTTGGGTAGCTGATAACTTTAAATAAATTACACTTGTTTCATTGCCTCTTTAAGAGCCAAATGACAGCTTTTAAATAGGTTTTTATTCTTTCTGGAAAACTTGTATTCCACATTCAAGACATTGCCTTATAATTTTAGTTTTTAAAAATCTTATCTGTATCCCATTAAGATTTTAAATTAGCAAATTAGAGGAGACTCTGAAGGGCACAAAACATATAAAATCTAAGAACTGAATATTGCTAATGACAGATGTTAGATAAATTTTGCAGTCAATGCACTTTAACAAGAATTGATTAATTACAGTTCTTCCCACATCTAAAACAGAATGTGTTGTTTACATTAAAAATGGAAAAAAAGTAGTTTAATAAATATTCAAAGTTAGACATGAAAGGTAAACGAGTAAAAAGACCTTGAAAGGATTAATTGAGAACTAGTAGAACCATAGCACTGGGTTAGTTTCTATCATCATCTTCATTTAACGATCCCATAATCCCGTGCAAGTTAGGAGTGGAGTGTGGGCAACTAAATGGAGCTAGCAGAGTGTTTTAATGGCCAGATGCCCTTCCTGTCACCAATGCAGAGTTTTATTAACTGAATTAGTTTCTATATCTAGCAGGAATAAGTAGCCTATGAGTGTTGCGTAAGAAATTCTGCTCTGGTCTGCTCCATTGTCAACAGGCTGGACTTAATGGGAACAAAAAGTATGTGGAAAATTGATGAAATATAGAAAATTATGAGTTAATTTACAGTGAGCTGCATAAAGGAACAACATAGAGGATATAAGAAACAGATTTCTTGGATTCTAATAAAAAGGCAGATTATGTAGTTACTAGAGAATTTCTGGTTTTCATCCAGACATCCCCTAATTATATTGGGGTATACATTGTATTGGGGCATTATATATTAACTTGCTAATCAATGAAGAACGTATCTAAGAACTTCCCTAACATCATTAATTTTTATGACAAAGCAGAAGTTGAACGTAAGAACATATGTTTTTGTGTAGGGTCTCTGATTCGTAAGTCATAAAAACACTGACATACTTAGGAAGAGGTGCTGAGGGCTAGAAACTATAGTGTTTTCAACAACAGAGGTGTGGAAAATATGTAAGTTCCTAATTGTCCATATTGATGATCTTTACACAGTCACTACCCTTTTGTACTATATGGCATCATCATATATGCTCTTGTGCTTCTCTAACTTTCCTTTTTCTCTTCATCAGTTGTGCTTTCTTCTGAAGAGATCCAGAAGAAAGGAAGTGGATGGGAAAAAGAAAGGGAAAATACATATGCTTATCTCTATATACAATACATTTTGGCATTACAAATACTATCTATTAGAAATATATAGGTATTAAAACTGGAAAGCATGAAAACAGACTTCTGTTAATTTTGTTAAGCACCAGGAATTCTTACTTGAAATGTTAGCAGATCTTTCTGATTTCTTTTTGTAATTCTTTTTGTAGTACTCCAGAAATCATTTTCTTTGACATTCTTGTTGAAGGCCACTGTCAAGCTTTTGGCAATCCACTTTCATAGAAAGCAAGATTCTCCCAGAGTTTCTTTTAATAAGATTTATTGAAAGAGAACAGAACAAGGTTACAGAGATCTCAGCTACTGGATTGCTTTACCTTAAAACCTAATTTATAGTCACCTAGTTAAAATAGTCTTCAGTCTTTCATTAACAACAACAAAAAATCTGTATAAATTGTCAAGGAGGGTATGATCTTAATTGACAAGAGAATATATCCCACTGTCCAGAATGTCACCTTAGGTTCTGAATATACTATTATAGGCATATTCTAAGGTGCCAGGGAAACATGCACTACACAGAGGACTACACAAACAATATTGTTTGAAAAAGTTTTGTTTCTTGGATATTTTTGTGATGAAAAATATTTACCATAAGAAGAATTATCTCTTACAAGGAGCAGAAAAGTTCATTTGGTATGAATTTTGTGAGCTGATCAAGAGCAATGAAATTCCAAAAACTACCCCAGCATGATTCCAAGTGTTGGAAAGTGAAATATGTATGAAAACAGAGTGACAGTGGAAGAACTCTCAAAATGCAAGAAAAATCAACATAATAAATACACGTGGTTTCCAACACCTCTCTTTCACCCAATTGCATGCAATGTTTTTGAAATAAGATGAATAATAAGTACATAAGATGGTTGGATGACAGGTAGAAATCGAATATAGAAATTGAATCTTATAACAACATATGACGTATTAAAAGAGAATAGGTCAGTTGGAAAGGGAGGGTTAATGTTATAATCAGATGTTGATGTATACACTTAAAAGCATTAATCTAAATATGGAACATTTTGAGAATATTTCAATATATTATGCCCATAGAGTGTTAATAGAGTATTGTAGAATATCAAAGATCACTAAGAAATGCAAAATGATGCCATATTGCACCAGATTTCCAAGTTTTCTGAAAGAATGGCAGCATCCAGTAATGAAAAGCAGATTGTATCTTTAGGAGTCATTGAGGTATGAATCACGGAATTAGAAAGAGCAATTTATCATCAAGTCCAGCTGCCTGCTGAAAGCAGAGTCCAAATGCCATCCTGAAGGATGCCTAGCCTCTACTTGAACTTGTAAAGGGGAGTCCACTTTATGGGGAATTGATTTTACTTCTAAGAATTTATTTTATAGCATTTAATCGGATAATCTATTTCATGTCTTATGCTTTGAAAGAATAGAGATGTTCAATGTCTTCTATGTGAATTATTCCAGGTATTCAAAGTGTGTTATGAAGTCCCTCACAATCTTCTCAAGACTGAATGCTCCTAGTTCCTTCCATTGCTTTTCATGGGACATTTTCTCAGGAGAACTTCATAGGAAAAAGTTGTTTTGTTTCTTTACTTTCATTTTTACACTTCTTTTATTTTTCTATGTTTTAATTTTGATGAGCTTTTTCTTTTTGTAATTGTTCAAGCAGAAAAATCTAACTTCCTGTCAGTCAGTCAATCAATCGATCGAACAATCATATAGTACATATTGAAGGTACAATTCCATTCCAGTGAGGAAGAATAAACTACCTAACATAAAGAAAATCTGATAGCAGAAACTTGTAGAGCACATCAGGAGAGTTTCACCTCAGAGTGAGATTAGTTATATGAGATACACAAGAAAAGAAAAGAAAAGAAAAGAAAAGAAAAGAAAAGAAAAAAGAATGAAAAAGTTTGCCTTTTAATATCAGAGGGGAAAACCCAGACTTGCATAGAATGTATGGACAAGTAATTGTTCTGTTTAAGATAAAATAAAAGACTTTGATTTCCCCTTTTATCAGTAAGTCTGCCTTTTGCATAAAGCGAAGACGAAAACACAATAGATACATTGTATGAGTTCTAAACTGGAAAAGGAAATGATTTATGAATGTTCATGATACGATAGAGGGTAAGTTTGTATATTTAATGCTTGAACTACAGTGTGTTGAGTTTACATTATGCGGGAAGCTAGATTGTGTTTTTTATACTCAAGAGATTGTTAAGGATTGCTAAGTCAGGTATCTTCATATCTGAAGCAAGAAATCATGGATGATGGAATGAATTTATTTGCTGCCCCCGACTTTCAAATGTCAAGAAAGGGTAATTCAGCTTAAGTTTAGAAATAATGTTTCTAACACTGTCAACTGTTTATGGTAGAGCAGACTGCCTCAGAGAATAGTGAAGGGATGCTCACTATCAGGAGAATAGTTTGGGATGCTCTTCAGCTCTACGATAGTTTATGGTTCTTGTTCTAAAATACTAGTTACTCAATAGTGAGGAAAAGTTAGGGGCTTTGTACATGTGACATTATTCCACAGACACATATCACTTAGCAATAGCACTTAGATTTATACTGCTCCATGGTGCTCTACAGCCCTCTCTAAGCAGAGTCAGCATATTGCCTCCAACAACTGAGTCCTCATTTTACCAACCAAGGAAAGATGGAAGTATGAGTCAACCTTGAGACCCATCAGGATTGAACTCTACGCTGTAGGCAGGGTTAGCCTCAGTATTGCATTCTAACCACTGTACCATCACTGCTCCACATACACCATTATTATTAATATCTTTGAGTGGATTCTATTTTGTTTCTGTTTCAGTTGCATGATTTGGTCAAAACTATTGTAACTAAAGCAGGAGGGACCTGAAACCTGAACGACTGCTTGCACCCAGTAATAGTGGCATGTGAAGGGGAATTTAATTCAATTCAATTTATTGAACTTGTATGCCACCCTATTCCCGGAGGGACTCAGGGCGGTGAACAAACACATGGGGAAGGGGCCATACAAAACACACAAAACAGAAAACAGAGACAATTTAAAACTACCCAACAGACGCAGCAATTCGAGTGGGGCTGGGAACTCATCAGCCCCAGGCCTGCCG